AAAAAAAAAAACAGCAACAAAACAAAAGCTTCAGCCATTGCTGTTGCTGTAGCATCACGGCTTCCAGATTCTGATCATTTTGCGAAACCAGTGGAGACATCGTCATCTCTGAAGATCCCACTTGTATCTCGCGTAGATACTGAATATCACTTGCTGTGTTAAAAATAGTATCTGACACTATAAAGATAACTGTAGGTTAAGTTTTTGTATTCTATTGTCCACAAAATTAGAAATCTACACTAATGTAAAGAATATCGAAGTTTTTATGGAGAAGTATAATAAAACACAATTAGAAACACGTAACTAGCTCAAAAATACCTTTATGTGGATTTGTCAGAACATTCACTTCAATCAAGTCAGTCCTTACAATTGTTTTCTCATTTTGTGTGATACCCTGTTGGTGAAATGTGTTTTTTATTTTAGGGACATTTGACGTTCAGAGATGTGGCCATAGAATTCTCTCCAGAGGAGTGGAGATGCCTGGACCCTGCTCAGAGGACTTTGTACAGGGACGTGATGCTGGAGAACTACAGGAACCTGGTCTCCCTGGGTGAGGACAGCTTCCCTCCAGAAGTCAGGATCTGCCCTGGTGTATTTTTGCATTTTCTCATGTGACTCTTAGACATCTTAGGAGTCAATGTATTGCTTGACTGAGATTGAAACCCTGTTGACTTAGAAATGAAAACCTCCATGATGCTTGATAATGCTGTATTTTTCAGAAACTATACACTCCGTAATGCATTCTGTACTTAAAATAACTGCTTTTTTCAGATGTTCTGCCTCCTTCATAATTCATTATCGAATGGTACCAGGGCTTAAGTATGCATCGATCCTTATGACAGACTTAGATAAACAGTTTTGGCTCAGTGCAGTGGCTCATGCCTGTAATCCCAGCACTTTGGGAGGCCGAGGCGGGCAGATCACCTGAGGTCAGGAGTTCGAGACCAGCTTGGCCAATGTGGTAAAACCCTGTCTCTGCTAAAAATGCAAAACCTAGCTGGGCGTGGTTTTGGGCGCCTGTAATTCCAGCTACTTGGGAGGCTGAGGTAGAAGAATTGCTTGAACCCAGGAGACAGAGGTGGCAATGAGTGGAGATCGTGCCAGTGCACTCCAGCCTGGGCAACGGAGCGAGACTCGATCTCAAAAAAAAAAAAAAAAAGATATCTACCCCTGTGCTTATGAGTCATTAGTTCTTGCAAGAGAGCTGGATGTCTGTATGTTACAGTGTTTCCTCAGCATTT